TCCTTGCCAGAAAGCCATGCCTTGACTACATTATAAACTTTTTTGGCAGATGGAGTTTGGGGATTCCTGTAAAATTGTGAAAGCAAAAGTACAGAGACACAGCAAGACAGTGCTAAAGGGGAATGACAAATAAATGTACCCAAAGAGTAACAAAAACACAGGTAGAGTTAGGATAAGTTAAAAATATTTACAAATTGGTAGTTTCTGGATTCATAAAAAAGTTTTTCATTAATAAAGAATTTTAAGGATATTTTACAAGACAAAATAGAGCAACAGCAATAAAAAATATTAAAAGCACAGAACATCATTTCACTGTAAATTCAGAAGCTAAGCTGTTGTAGGTATTTCCAAACATTTCATGTTTTAATTGGCTTCCCAGGCAGATATCTTAGTCTACCAGTCACATCCACTTAATCTTGTATTGATTTTCTAAGAAACTTTCTGTTTCTATGACTACCCTAATCAATTAACTTCTTGCGAGTAGCAAGACAATTTTCTCTTTCTATTTTATTTTTTCCAAATGAAGCCTGAATAGTTTCTTTCCACAAAAATGTCTAATGTTGCCTCTTACTCACCACAGAACTACATTATGTTGGTAAAAATGGTTGATGTCTTTCATATTTGAAAACATGTGGAGATTCTGCATAGAGAAAGCATATAGACTAGCCTTGAAACAATATTTTAAATGGGTGATCAATTTGTGGTTGGGGTGATAAGAGTCCTCTTTGGCTATCGGCAAAGAGGTTCCCCCTTGGCCTGTATATTCTATCACAGAAGACTAGGCGGCTGGTGGACACTTAAAAAAACAGCTCACTGAGAAAAAGAAAATAGTCTGCTACTTGGTGTTAAATGTACAAAGCCACAAGCCAAAACTTTGTGACTTTTTTAGTCAGAAAAACACTGTCTATTCCTAATAAATAAATTTCATCTATATTAAAATGTCAGGATTTGGAGATGCAGAGATGGTTATTTTAACCTGAGCCTACTGACTTTTTCTCAAGGACGGGCCTGGAAATAATAGAAACAACAATATTCAGGAAAGTCCTTGGTCTTTGGAGTCAGACATCCTGGACACAAGTGTTGAGTCAGCTTAGGAAATTTAGTTAAGCATCTCTTAAAATCCCTGAAGTTCCATTTCCTGCCCTATAAAATGAGAATATTATAATTACCCCAATGGGGTTTGGGGGTTCTCTAGATATAACTTCTCCTTCCTTTAATTCAAGTCCATTCTTCTACCAAAAGACCTTTCCAAAAAAGAAAAGTGATTAGGGTACTTTCCTTTCCAAAACCTCCCTCTGTCTGGAGAGCATAGGACAAACCCCATAGTATATAGTCTTTTGTTCCATAGAGCCAGGTTTCAGCCTCCCTTTCCAGGCTTATCTCTGGTTATTCTCCTCACTGTATCTCTTATTCTAGCCATGTCAAAACAGATGCATTATGTACTTCCAACCCCCTATAGCTATGTGTTTGTTCTAAGTACTTTCCCAATGTTCCCCTAACCAATACACCCTTCTTGTTCTTGTCCACTTAGCAAATTCTTGCTCAACCCTCAAAGCCATGGATATCTCCAAAAATACCACTTTTCTAGCTGTGCCTGGAGCTTATCCCAAAAGAAACAAAGATTAAATTTCATCAGGCGAAACAATCTCATTTGTTCTTTGGCTTCCAACATGAAAACACATTTTATTTGGCATCCAACATGAAAATAGCTAGATGCTATTTAACTACAAAGAAGTGACAGGAAAAAAATGCAGTCTGTGTATCTACAACCTGAGCACCAAAAGAAAAATATGGTACTATTCAGATTCCCAAAGTCAATCAACTTTAATTTATCACAGTTTATATAGTCACTGAGTTGTGAGAGAAGCAGCACACATCCAAAAGAATACACTGCCTGAAAAATGAGCTGATCCACATCAATTACTTTAATCATTGATATCACCTGCTAGGTGCAAGATGTATCATTTCTAATATAATTACACTTTAAAATTGGTATAAATGAGTAGACTGTGATTCAAACAAGTTTAGTAATCTGCTCAAGTATTTCATATGTGGCAGGGTTGCCATCCAAATCCAGGTCTGTCTGCCTCTATAACCCATTCTATTTGCACTCTTCCACATCATTTCCCAATTGACCTTATAGTGTGATTATACATGGACCTAGAGTAATGGTCCATGTGTCTTTATACAATGTATCAGATGCTATCTCTAGTCAGGTCACTCAAAATACTCTTTTGCTTAAGGAAAAAGGAGGTTGATGATGTGAATAGACAGTTTACACAGCAAACTCAAGAGGAAGAGACAGAGTCCCTGTTCAAATCACAGTAACATTCCATTTACAATGCACATCATAAAAGTAAGTTTCCTCTCTGGCACTATACCTATGGAGAGCTTTTCTTATTTTTGGTCCAAATCCCTAGAAAATTTTTATGTTTGCCTGAATAAAATTAATATTATAGAAGAATTATGGCATATGTTATCACTGAGTTATTAAAAATATTCTCATCTCTTCATTTCCCCAACTGTATTAACTGGAAGGGATTTATTATTGTTGTGGTGATGGTGGTCTCTTGGTGATGGTGGTGGTTGTGTTTAGCAGCCTAAAATTGTGTAAGCATCTTTACTTCAAATATTTGCAGTCTTATGTAAATATTGAAAAAATATTTATTTATATTCTGGATGAAACATATAGCAATGCACAATGTGATGTTTCTCACATAAAATGCAAAGTAAAACAGAGATATGATTTAAAATCAGAAAATGTTACTTCAATATGAGGCTAAATATGAGATCATGCATGTCACAATGGAACATATTTTAGCAATCCTATATTCCTATTTAGAATTACTATTGCTTTTTTTATTGCTCCGTGGCCTTTTTGGCTAAGATCAAATGTAGAATTACTATTGCTTTTAGATACATATACAGACACAGATATAGACACAGACACAAAGACACAGACATAGCTTATACAGCATTAAAAAATCAATTTGAACTGGAGAAAAACTGAGTTTAAAGGTTAGTAACATGTCAAATTTATTTCCAGGAAGAGTTCTCTTATTTTAAATGATTTCCTAACTGGGAATCAGGAGGAATGAACCCCATCGACTTCCTGGGAGAAAGGAAAAAGGAACTGAGGCATTTATGGGGAATAGAGAGAGGGCAACTTTCTATGTGCAGCCAGCAAAGGTCCCTGTGGGGAGGAAGCACCATTTCCCTCTCTAGACACGAACATGGAGGTTTAACCTGACTGTAGCTCCTGCCATGCTCACACTTTGCACTTAAAGAAGTTCTGACAGTGGCAGGGTTAATGACTAAGCTCCCAAACATTGCTGAGTTGTCAGTTTGTTCTCCTGCAATGGCTTATCACATTATTATTAAATGACTCCATAAAGTATGTAAGAGAAAATAGCAAGGTACTGAATTTATCCTTGAGACATGTCTTTTGTTTGTTTGTTTTTAATTTCTCAGGACTAACATGAATTCTCCAGTCCTTCATGCATCTGAAGACCTAGCTTGCCCAAGAGCAAAGAGAAGACACAGGTTAAATAGGGATAACAATTATAAAAGACTAGCTTGCCATTCTGTGTTAAGTAACATAGCTGTTGGAAGCCAATTTTCTTCACAAACTGAAGAACACTTTATATATTGCTGGCGATAGGGTAGAATTAGTACTTATTCTGCCTGATACACACATTTCCAAACATGCATTATCCTGTGTCCTCTTCCAACCCTTACTAACTGCCTCTGTGGAGTTAAAAACAGTGTTGTTTAAGAGAAGATAGGAGCAAGACTGACTCATGAACAGCAAGTCAGAAAACCCTGCGTTAGTAAGAAAGATCAGTGTATCTCATTCAGTCCAGAAGCAGACATCAAACCATGAATTCAATTTGTATAAGATACTCTGCCACCTACAGAAGTGGCCCATTTTTATGGCATCAGCAGTCATCAATTTAGGTGCATATAAATGCAGTCATAAATTACTATGGAGTAGAGACTTGGATAATTTTGCCTTATTCAACATAAAAAAAATCTAACAACCTGACCTAATGAATGACAAAAATACATTTCATTATTTTAAAACAAGTGATATTTTTAGTGGTAAAAATTAGAAATGTTAACTGTTAACTTTCACCTAAAATGCATGTTGGAAAAACAAAGAATAAATACTGAATAACATCACTCAAGTGTTAACTTGCAAATCTTTTTAAAAGCTTAAAATCAATTCCATAAATATTATACACAAAGTAGCATAAAGCAAAGTACAGAGAAAGAACAGAAGGACATTTCTGAAGTTAAAAAGAAATTGACAACAGCAGTTTTATGACATGCCACTAAATAATAATTCATTTTTCATTTTATAATTCCCAATGAGCTAAATATCATTCACTAGAAGATAGAGTATTCCTGTATAAATTCTATATGACAACCCTTCCAACTAAAAACCAAAACAAAACAAAAAACCAATTAAGTCTAAAGGTCAAAAGTAATTCAAAACAGTGACTTTTGTATCTTAAAGACCAAATAACATATTGACTGATTTTCCAATAGTGACATGAAGATTGCTGATCATATCCCAAATTCACCAGGTTAAATGGAATATTGAAGCTTATATTTAGCTAATTAATGAATATATACAGAAAAGGACAGAGAAACAAAAAATAAGCCTAAAGAACTAATCATTAAAATCCAAAAAATGTTGCTTGTTCTGATTTTCAAGATTAAAAATCTCAGTTCCTTCCTTACCTGTATTTACATTTAGACATCATGTGTACTGTGCCAACTATCACAAGCTCTCATCTAACTATTAAAAGGCTCGACATTCTTCAGCTTTTCTTCTATAATCCTTTTTTCAGTTAGTGTGTTAATGTTTGTGCTCAAAAACTATAAAAATTTTTGTTGTTATTCTGTAAGTAAGACATTTTGTTATCCTAACACATTAGACAAGAAAAGTCAAGCATGGGGAGACCAAAAAAAATGGGTAATTTGCATATCCTTACCTGCAGGCCTTCAATAGCTAATCGCAGCATGCTTGGTGTAAGTTTAGAGGCTTGCTTGAAGGTGAAGTTACTCCAGTCTATGATCAAAACAAACCCATTCACCTGAAGCTCAGGATCTTCAATCATAGCTTCTAACGAAAGCAAGATGGCACGCAAAATATCCACCAGCGTGTACCTATCAGCAACAGAAAAGTACTGAATTAAATCTGACCACCATTTTTATAAAAACTATAGAAAGTTTTTTGACTCACTAAAAATTCCCTTCAAAATACCTCAGGAATCTTAAGGAAATGAATTTGTTCAAAAACCTTCCTTTAAGAAGAGGTTTACTTTCTATGTGCTCCAGGGACATAATAGAATTTAACCTGTATTCTACCCAAATACAAGACAATACTTTTGAAAATACTACAGTTTGTTTCATATTTTATAATCATTTAATTGACCTTCAAGTTTTCCTATGATTTTCTAAAATTTCATTCAACTATCCCAAAACTAGGTATCATACTTTTAAATAGCACAACAATGACCTCTATAATACTGACACTTCATGTTTTCAAATTTGAAAAAAAAAAATGGACAATGAGATTTGAAGGAGTTTCATCAATATACAAGAACACAGTACATGACAGCTATGGATAAAAGTTAATACAAATTACTTGTATTGAGTCTGTATTAAAATAAAGAGGAAAGGTGGGAAAGATGGAAAAAGACAAAGAAATATAAACAAAGAAGTCATGGAAATTTACCTATTATAAAGCAAGTCATTCATATTTAGGAATTGGGTCTTTTTTTTTTTATTTCTTGCCTTCCACCTTAGCAGTGCCTGGCACATTTCAGAAACACAATAAATGGTCTTTACATTCCTGTAAAAGGGGACTCCATTAGAGTGGGAAGACACTGGTTGTATTAGATTAAGCCCCTTCCTCAACGAAGGCAATGGAAGTAAGAACAAAAATAGGGAGCCCAATTTGAAAGGCATTTTAGAGGTAATCTTGTTAAAATTTGATGATGTAGGCACTAAAGTTAGGGAAGTGTAAAGAATGGCACACAGATTCTAGCTTCAGAGCCTGAATAAATGGTAAAACCTTGACTCAACAGCAATAATGCAAATATAAGATACTATTGGAGATGGCTAGAAATATAGAGCTTTGAATAGAACCTACTTATTTGAGAAACATGCAGTATACCCAGAGAGAGATACCAAGGAAGCATCTGAACAAACAGATCGTAAACTTAGGAGAGAACTCAAAGCTGAAAATTCTGAAATCAAAAGCATACAGGCCTTAAGTTCAAGGAAGTGAAGGAGATAATGCAATCAGAGCTGAAAAAGAAATATGAGATAATTATTCTAAAAAGGGAATCCTTAGAAATCCCAGCATTTTAAGAGGAATCAGCAAATTTCTGGAAGATGTTAATTTCGATTTTTGTACAGTCACATTTTTAAGTTTTTTTCTCCTGAGACATTCAGGGGTAGATGTTAGGGAAAAGCTAGAAAAAAGAGCTCAAAAAGACGTGGGCTGAGGAGTGGAGTAGAAATCATTCCCATTTATTGGAAGTGATGGGCTCATCAGGGAGGCAGTATAAGACAGTGAGTGTGTATGATGGAGTAGTTCCATTTTGCTTCTAAAAACATTTGGAGGCGAATAAAGAAAAGCACAGTAGTCTGGAAAGGGAAAAATACTTAACATTAGAACTTCAAGCAATTTCTCACCCTCTCAGGGTCTCATGTTGTCATCTGTAAAAGCAGTAGTTTGAAACAGCATCTTTTTTAGAATCATAGTGTTAACCAAGCATAGGATATGAGGTCAGAAGACTTAAAGATGAAATCTTTGCCCTGCCCCTCATTACCTGCGTGGTCTTGGATGTGTCAGTGATTTACAATTCTGAGGATCAGTTCTCTTATCTGATAAAAAGGCAGTAATTATACTTATATCTCACTGTATCTCACTGGTGGTGGGGGAGGGGGGTGGAGGTGGCACAGCATCAAAGAGATGGTTCAGGTGAAAGCATTCGCACAATTCTAGGTATACAGCAAGTGTTCAGTAAATGCTGGTTGAAATACATACATTGTATAATTTTTGTTGTAATGGTAGCCATAGACATAGTGTACTAGGCAGGGTATAATCACAACTGAAGAATGTTTTGCTTCAAAAGTTAATGATAATCTTTAGGATAGCCTATTACTATTAAAAAGCAAGGATCAAAAGGTCTAGGGATAGGGCATAGAAAATTCTTCCTGAATATATAAGATAATAAAAATTTTTGCAGAGCTCTATTATGTATTTGTTATTAAATCGGTCAAATATGTATGGTTAAACACCTTTATCTGTCACATTAAGGCTGGCCTACCATCATTTTAAACATAATGGCCTGACATACTGTTGTGAAATCAAACCTATAAACCTAAACACATTGGAAAGCTGGAGCAGGAAGGCTTTATTTCTGTTGAAAATTTAAACCCATACCCCATCCAAAAAAATCATTTTAATTTCTGAAATTCATAACAATATCATAGCAAAAATAATCAGAAATTAGAAAATTCCAATTTAGAATGTTCCCCTCATTATGAAGTTGATCATTCTTACATTAGCCATAAGAATACCGTGTAGCATGAACACCAAAATACCATCAAATGAAACTTAAATCTGAAATCAGCCTTGAAAAGATGATGCATTTGTATATAGTGAAAATAAATTATGCCACCAGTAGGAACAGAAAACAAGAGGCAATTTGTTTTAAGTAACATACTTGAAATATGGTTTTCCTAAACTGTGTCAAAATCAAAAGAAAAACATATATGCATATCATTATTCTGAAGCAAATAATATAAGGCAAATCTCAAAATCAGCAATGAGGAAAACAGTTTTGCTAAGTTTTCAAGAGTAAGTCTAACCAATTTTTTTAAATTTAATACCTTGTTCCAAGAAGAAAATGAAATGATCTTTATATAAATCATAATTTATAAGTTCAACAAAAGAAACATGAAAAGATCCCAGCTAATTTTATTCAAGGGGCAGGTCAAAACCACTCTTGACTTAACTCCAGTCCTCTGTCATCAAACATGTCATATTAGTACCATTAGCAGCTCAGCAGGCCATTCCTAAGCAGAACATTATTACACGGGATCTCGCCAGAATCTGTAAAATATCTTTCAAAGAAGTGTATCATCTATAAATTTTATATCTTCAGGACTCCCACAATTATTCTCCTTTTAAAAATTATTTCAACTGTTGCAATTTACACTACAATGTAAAGGTCACTACAATGAAATATTCCACATGTTCATGTTTGGAGTTTACACCAAAATTGTATGGGTACCACCATTGCTATTCTTCCCTTGTATATTAGAAGAAAGCCATAAATAACAAACTAGTACATTATTATAGCTCTTTACTTCTGAGTATGCTTCCCAAAATAGCATTAAGTAAAACAGAAATTTGCAGAAAGAATGATATTATGTAGTAAGAAGAAATTGTGACACCAATAAGGAATTTTACAACTAACACCAGACTAAATAGAGCACTACTTTTGAAAGGAGTAAAAGCAGCTATAACATGTAGACAGTATTTGCAGAAGACTTTGATATCCATAGTTCCTGCTTACTGCCTGTGCAATTAGATGGAAAACATTTCATTCCTATTGAAACTTTATAAAATCAGCCTCCCTTACAGAGTAGGATATATGTTTGTGAATTAATAATTTGGGGCATATTATTTAACTTAAAGTCTTTTTAATGTAAAACTTTCAGCTATAATAAATACAAAATAAAAATGAGGACTCGATTATTTTTCTAATCTTAGCCCCTTCCACACCACAGGCTGCTGCTTTCTTTCCACTTTATTTTTGAATAAATTGGCGGACTCAAGTACAAATGACTTCACAGCCCGATAAGCAACAATTGACTGCCTCTTATATATCTTTTCATAACATGCTGCATTCAATAACTACGTTAAATTGAACTTGGCCTTGAAAATAGTTTCAAAGAATATTTTGGACAAGGACAAAGTTGTAACTGATGTTCCCTCTGCCTGGGACACCATGTTTCCCCCAAATACACATCTCTTCATCTCCCCCACTAGCCTATAAGCTCCATGAAGGAAGTGCCTAGAATAGCACGTGGCACAATATAAGATGCACAATAAGTATTTGTTGTGTGAATAAATAAACTCATCTCTCTGTTAAAAAAAAAAAAGTTACTGAACCTTCCTAAGTCTCCATTTCCTCTTTTAAAAATGAAGATAATAATAGTTACCTCATAGAGCAGAACATAAAATACTTAGTCCAGTGCATAGCACACCAGAAAACAATAAATTTTAACTTCTAAGATTGCTACATTGTCTTTTCTTCTTTATTTAATCACATGTTTTACACTTGCTTTTTATACTTTTCAACCATTTATTCTTGATAGAATTGTTGTGAAGATAAAAATGAAATAAAATATGTAAAGCTTTTAATAGTACTTGACATATATAGAAACAACACATATTTTCCATAATCATTATTGAAAATCTTTCTTGTATTTGGTTCTGTGATGCTACATTGAACTTTTTCTCTTCCCACTTTTCAGGTCACTATATATCTTTCATCTTTGGTTCCACTCCCTGCTCCAATCACCCAAATGTAGAAATAGACTTTGGTTCCCTGCTCTCATCATGTAGTATCCCACAGAGTTACTGAGTCATGCACTCATCCCTCTGGCCAAAACACTGGGTAGTGTCCCATCTATTCCCCCACAGCAAGTGTCACTCTTGAGCAACACCCTCATCTCTACAGTCACCATCTGAACATCAGCACCTTACTGACTGCTTGTTACCTTAACCACTTCGGTACGGCGCTCGCCAGCGGCAAAACCTTGCCCACAGGCGGCACTCATAGTCCACATGATAGTTTGTGCTGTGCATTGATGACGAATCCGTTTTGCTCTTGTGTGATGAGGAAAGCTTTAAAGCACTGAAAGCTTGTTTTACTTTACAGGCAGCTTTACTTGTAATGTAAATCACAATAGGTAACATATACATATGTGTTTTCATTATGTTATTTTTAAATGTTCACAATTTTATTTTGATAAATGAAAAATTAGAAAAGTCATATCACGGCTGTCAGCTAAAGTCACTGTGCACATTCATCTGTGGCTATCGACTATAGTCTACACTGGTCCCAAAGTGGTTAAGTATT